ACACGCAAACACACACACATTTATACAGACACACCCAGCAGACATGTGTGCACTCGTACATCACAGGTAGGACAGTGTTTTTGTTATAGCGTGGCTTCATGCGCTTACACAGAGATCATATCATGATTTGTTAAAGAGGTGGTATTATGCTTTTTGGCCTTTCCCCTCTCCTTTATTGAGTTATATCTCTTTTTTGTGCATGTAACAGGTTTGCAAAGTGAAAAAGCCCAAATACCAGCCCAAAGGGAGTTCCCATCTCCCACAGAAAGCTCTGCTCTGAACCGCTTGAAAACAGCTCGTTTGTAGTCCAGCCCTTCACTTCCTTTACTTGTGACGTCACAATGAAAACACGTCATAAAGCTTGCCAAGCGGCTAGCGGGGTCAGGCACGCCCCTAAACCAAGCTAGTCTGAGCGGAGGCCCTTATGCTCGACTTGCCTTTGTTTGGTTTTCCATTGTAGAAATGTTGTACCTGCACCTGCTTCCAGGTACTTTTTTTTGTATCACCTCACCTCCTTCCAGGTTCCAAGTGAGCTGAGGGATACTAAAATGTAACATGAAAACACGACAGACTGCTGATTGGTCAGAGAGAATATTCACTATTCACTGCAACATCATTGCTGCGCCAGACAGAGGCCAGCAACAGAAAGTTTTATATTTTACAGTTTTCGGAAATTTAATCACTAAATCCACTTCTGAGAAGTTTTGAGCTGAGAAATCAGCTGTGTAGATTTCGAATATTGGCAGAAATATGGCGGAACAAAATGTGCTTGAATATTGTCGGAGTTGAGGAGCTCCGCAAGTGGCTGCGGGGGAAGCCTGTGCCAACCCGCTGGAGCAGCGTGTGAGGTCGGCCAGCCGCCCGCTCACAGAGCCCTCTGCTCCCGCCGTCACACAGACCGCTGCAGCAACAACGGCAGAGGAAAACACAGCTGGAAGGTTTTCATACCACTTATCTGTCTTTACATTCTGAGTAATGTTGAAACGTTTTAACTTAAAAAAGAGAAAGCTGTGTGGATCGCTGGTGTGTGTATCACATTGAACATTACGTCACGGTAGTTGTGTGTGGCGTCGCTATGACGACAAGCTACGTACTATCTCTGGGTACTGTCTGCAATGGAAAACGGAGCAGGGTCGAGTACAGTCGAGTCTATCGATTTGCGCTATGGTAGCATTTTTCGGCAAGGCAGCATAGATCGTCAGAACACTGGCAACAGTTAAAAGTTTAGTCCTAAAAGACGATGCAACTTCGACTCTGTTGGTTGTGAATTATATTTAAAATAAACACCGCAATGTAACTTCACAGACTGTTCAAGTGCGGAGTTGTTGTAAACGTTGGCTAACACAGCTAAAGTTATAACTATAATGCTAATGTTACACCTGATGTGAAAGCTACGGAGCAAACGTTCAAATTGTTTGGCCAATTTTTATGTAAAATAGAGTTGAAATATGATGATTTTTGTAGTGGTTTATGGTAAGATGTGGAAGAGTGATGTTGTGTGGTTGTGGACTTTGATTTGGATCACACTACCTTGTTTCTTACGACCCGCCCTTCTCTGCTTCTGATTGGCTAGTAGTCCTTACCTGGGAACTGCGCATGTGCAACTCCCAACAAAGATTTTGTACAAGTAAGATGCATCACTCTTTAGCTCAAGAGCGTAGCGTACAACACATAGGGTGAAAAGAGGAGCTGCAGCGATGTGCAGTATGACAAAAATATGGTGTTTTTTGAAAATTAAACCATGTAAACCTGTTCTGGTACAACCCCTAATTAAGATTTTGAACCTGAAAATGAGCATAATACCACCTCTTTTAAGTTATTTAGTAACTTGGTATGCATTAGCCTATATTCATGTCTTATGTTCTGTTTTACTAGTCGATCTGAGCTTTAACAGGGCAGACGGGGTTCCTAATGACAGAAATACATTTTCTTTGTTTGCTCTTGTCTCTATGGCAACATTGACAAAGACTCAGCAGCAATCTAAATTGACTGTCTGGACTCTCATCCCTAACTGACCGTTCGTCTACCCAAATATCAGTTTTCATCTTTTAAATCAGCATAAACTAAATCCCGATTGAAGAGGTTGTCTAAGAGGAGTTTTTATGTCACTGACATTCTGAGTATAAATCATAGAAATAATCCAAAAGTCACATTCATTATGATGGTGTACAGTATGTGAAACAGGCTCCTTATCCTGAATATTAGCGGTATCATGCAATTATGTGCATATAAACATATATATTTATATATGTTTATATATATATGACTGTTATTTAGAACATATAATAGTGTATGTTCTGCTTGAGCATGCACTTATAAATGATCATTGGCTGTTTTGCATGACTTGAAATGCAGCCTGCCAAAAACTGCAAAATGATAGCAGAGGTAATGCATTCCACATGTTCACAATTAGGCCTACAATCTAATCTGTGATTTGCTCACCAAATATGGTTTCTGCATCACTTGCGTGATGCAGCGTGGTTGTTCACTACTACACACTGTGGTACAAAATAGACTACAGATTCCTTTCCAATTTGCCTGGTTAGATCCCTTTTATTCATGCTGGTGACATAAATGTCAAAACAAGCTGCCATAAATGGACATTTTAAATTGTTATGTGCTTCTGATTCACTGAGTTTAACTACTGTACAATATTTGTGTGGCATACTATTGTATTATTTGTGAACTGTAGCCTAAATACAAATACTACTCAGCAGCAGCCATGTGCAAAGCTACAGTAGCAAGATGTGCAAACCATCTAAGACTTCATGCTGTGATTATGTCATATGAATTTGCCTGGCTGATGTAGCCATCATGGAACGAAGTGGCTGTCCATCAAAACTGTCATGTCCAAGTTTTTTTTATTAACTACATCAGTTTCTATTTAACATGTTAGCTGAGGATCTAGATGACATACTCTAGCTGATGTGATCATGGAAAGAAAGTAGCTATATAAACAGTTTCCTTGCCTATTTCTGGCAGTGTGGTGATGCTGTGAGCAGAAACACATTTTATGAACAAAAAGTCAACTCTGTAATGACAAGCATCTGTCCTGCTAAGTATTATTTAGTAGGCTGCTGAATCCCTCCCACTGTTCTGCTGAAATTGTTTTATGACCTCAGTGAATAGCTAAAGGCTAAAATTCTCCAGTGGCGATTAATGAACTACTACGTAATCATTAAACACTATATCAAATACAGTTGGTTACCTGACATGGAGTGGATTTTATTCAGTCAGGGCATTCTTTACATTGTAAATTCTCGGTTAAAAATTGGATCCTTGTCCTGCTGATTGATTATTATGGCCATAAATAGCATAAATTATGGGGAGCAGTGAGGATCCCCCCTGCATGATGGGGGGGCAAACATATTTTTTTATTTAAAGCAGAAATCCAGCCAAACAAAGACAAGGACAGCCAGAAAGAAATTAGAGAGCAGAAGGAAGAGACAGAGAAAAAAGGAGGTACAGAGGGAGTAGGAGATTGAGAGAGAGAGAGAGAGAAACAGCAAGAGTGAGAGTGAGGAGGGTGTGACCTTAATCCCAGAATGGGAAGGAAAGAAAACATGCACTGACACACACACACACACACACACACACACACACACACATCTGGTCCATCCTGTTTCTACTTTGCATCTTAGAAGAAAATTATATTGGAGGTTAAACCTCTGATACACAGTGAAAATTGTGTAACATTGTGTACCGTTATGAGGTCTTTCAAAGACCTTTGGTTGTTTGGTTTTGTTTATGTTTATGTTAAGTTTCTTATATCACTCTGATAACATCTGCAAATTTGTCCAAGCAAATGTTTTAATGACACCGACATATGCTATGGCAAGGGCCAAGATCACCACACACTGCAGAGTCATGCAGAATACCGCATGGCGCCTCTGGGTCTTACCTGCGCGCAAGCCACTACATGTTACACGAAGTAGGCTACTGTTCCAGATGAAGACAGCGATGCCGCTGTGGAGACTGGGCAGATTCTGTTACTGACACCTCAGCGCTGTGTCCTGTCCAAAAAGCCTGCAGCATAGGCTTTGTTTTCCATCTCATCAAATAACAGCAAGCAGGCTGTTAGAGGACGTACGAAAGCAAAGGTAGTAGAATCTGACCCAACTGTAGCTCTCCATCCCATTCATGAATATTATGAAACATTCAAATCCCAAAGGGTTATTACCCCATCAACAAATACACGTGTGGGTGTGTTTATTGACCACAGGCAGAACTGATGTTTAGACATACAAATTAGTGTAAATAGTAACAATTGACTAACTTTAGTCCAACAGACTTGAAAGTTGTAGCCTAATTTGCAACTGAAGTGCACTGCCCTCATGTGGACACAGTATTATGAGTAGACTAGGTAGACACTATTCTTTATCTGTCTGTGCGCGAGTGTTTGTGTGTGTGTGAAAAAGAGAAAGAGAGAGAGAGAAAGAGAGGTGGAAGTGTGGGCTCCAGCCGGCCTATATCTGTCTCCCAACTTCCACATGAAATGCAGACATGAAGAAAAGAAGCTGTCTTGTCTGGGGCGCAATGGTGACCCACATCCTAGATATACCACACCCCCCGAAGCATCTCATTACGTCAGACTCCATAATGACCCACGAGATTAGAGCTATATGATTTCCACACATAACATTAAATGGCCTAGTCTTTTACTTTAAATGTGCCAGTACGCCTCTACATGCAGGGCAAGTGGTCACTTCCTCTGGATTTCGAAATGCTTCGTTTTATTCTATCAGTGGGAGCCAGCGTCTCGTCAAGGCTGCATCCATTTCGTGTTCTATAGGAGGGTTCTTGCTTACCTGCATTTGCATAATGAATGATGAATATATGTTTTCCTAGTAATCGCTAGAACAGTATTTAGTGGTGGTAAACAAATACGGAACGCACGCATTTCTCACTGTAGATGTAGTTTGTCAACTATTTTGAGATATGCTTTGACAGACCACCCCTAGAAGACATGGTATGCCCCACTCCCTGCCGTTAGCCGTTGTTGTATCTTTTGCTACTGAACAGATATGTTGCGATACTAACTAGCTACACACTGGCATTAAAGCCGCGAAAAGATGCTCCTTCACGGGATTAAAACTATAAAACAAACAACAAGAAGTCTGGAAAAACTTTGTCCAACTGTACCCAAACTTTGATAAGACTGCAACCCATATCACTTTCCTTCAGTTTCGAGTGTGTTAGCATTGTTTTATCTCACCACTATTGCCATTGGATTTTTTTTCTTCTGGAGCAGTCCAGTCTGATGAATTCACCGAAAAAAGACGGAGATGATGATGTGCCCGTTAAAGACCCGGTAAAATACGGCGAATTGGTCATTTTGGGGTAAGTCTCTTAAAACCTAAACGGATAGTAATATTGCGTAGGACGGCAAATTAACGTTAAATATGTAGCGGTACCATCAGCACAATAAACCAACAGATGACGTGTGAGTTCAGGTTTAATCCACTGCTCTTATAAAGACATCCTCTTTATCGGTTTTCGGGCACCAAATCCGTGACACATAAGAGCTCATGTTTCATTTATTGCACACTGCCGTCGTTTACCACCAGGCTGTGTGTAGTAATGTTACAAACTAACTTTATGTTCCAAATAAAGGCATATTCTCTGAAACTATGTCGCCACATTGTTTCCGCATCATGTATGGTGCGTTTGAGTGTAAAAGGGGCTAAATCTGCTGTAGCCATAGCACATAAGGCTACTACGGATGTAGCCGATTTTTCATCAATGGTTGTAATGTGGGGAGGCAGCGCTGGGTTGCTCTGGCTGAAAATCCCAATGATGTCATACTATGCTGGATCTGTGCATGCTAAAAGTAGGGCTGAGGATGATATCATTGTCTAAAAAATACATGTGTCTTGCTCATATTATTTAGCCTAGTCATAAAGCCTCTTTTTATTACTAATTAATAAACGTCGCAGCCAGATGACCACCCATGCCAAGGAAGGAGGAGGAGAAAAGCGCCTTTACATCACCAGCACACAGTAGGCAGGATGTGCTGATGACGGCCACCAACTTCCACAGCATTTCCACCCCTGCAGCTCCACACTCTGCAGGGTCTGCAGGGACCAGAAATGCCACAACACACACACACACACACACACACACACACACACACACACACAGTCATATCCAGGCTTACACAGGCCTCCCTCTTCCTGTGTATGACAAAGATAACTGACCTAATGGCCTATCTCTTCCCCTCCGGCTGAACATGGAGTGAGGAGGCTGTAACCCGCCTGCATCAGAATACTGATTAGTCGTCATCCTCTTCATCTGGCTGTTTGAACAGAGCAGTCCTTTACGGCCTCAGACCAGAATAAGGAAGTGATCTTTTAATGTCTATTGCGAGGTTTTGGCCGTGCAACTTAAACACAAGCGAGCTCTGCAGTGTGCGCCACAACACTTAATGTGCTTCATTGAGGTTTAAAAATGCATTAGGTCACTTTAAAACTGTAGTGATTGAGGTTTACATTGATCTTGATCTGCCACAGGCTTCCAGGCTATTATAGTTATCCTCTCTGTGGTTTTGAACAGGGGCTGATTGATGCGCCAAAAACATATCGCTTTAACTGAAATACCATCTTCAGTGTGTTAAAAATGTCTGAATCTGTTTACAGTGGTAGGAGATATTCTATTCATGTCAATATTCACATTATTAAAAACTGTAGTGTAGGTGATAACTTACCCAGATAAGAGGGACTTTATATGATTCAGGCCCGTGACCAGATTATCCCTCCCCAAACGTACCGCAGGTTAGTTTTCACAGCAGATACCCGGTGTCAGAACAGGCTGTACTTTCTACTGCTACCTGTCAGATGTCAAATTTTCCTGGCCTGTTTAACTTTGCATCTGTCAGCCTTGATGATCACATGCCCCGTGTGGTCGATGCCTGCTTCACTGCGGGCCATGTGATCTGCCTGCCTTCGCTCATTGCCTTAGTTAGACTGGACATCATGTACAGCGCTGCACTGTCCAACAGCCCGGCACAGCTCAACTCACTCATAACCCACTCCCATCACTGTGCAAACCCCTCTCTTGTCCTCTATTTATCTCTCCCACGCCTTTATTTTACACCGCCTCTGTCCATTTCCTTCCCTGCCAGCAACCCAGTGTTTTGCTGAGTGCTGACATTCACCACAGCAGGCCTCCTTGGTGGCTTGCCCTCAACAAAAATAAACCGTGTCTCGAGGGGCAGAAGGAGTGAATATTTCATATTGTGCTTTAGATGTACGCACATGCATGAGGCAGGCCAGCAATGCCAAGGAAAATCATACTTTGTGGAGCTGCTCTGTCACTGGCCTTTACCCTGGACCCTCTGCCTAGCCTGGTCTCAGCCTCCTCTCTCCCTCTTGCCTCCATGCACCCTGCCCTTTGCTTCATTTGATTCATTTAGCTTTTATTTTCTGTCTCTAATACTCATGATAACTTCTTACTTCATTTCTGTCTCTGTTACTGTCAACCTTTTCTCTTTCCACAAGCTGATGTTTTTTCTCCCGTGCCCTCTTATCCACGGTCCCATTTCACATCTTCTGCCATGTGTCTTCTTTTTCTGACCCAGTGCTTCTCTTATCAGCCAGGGTCCAGTTTCAACTACCAGGCAGGGCCATGAAGGTGGCGGGTAGCACTCAGTCATTTTCTGTGATTGGACTTCGCATTTAGAAAATATTGCAAGTGAATGTGCCCTGTTTTGAAGGCTTTTCCAGGTAACATACCCGGTCCTGTTGCCAACATCCTGCTGACTGCCTGGCCTGATCTGGCCATAGGGTTGTTAGCCACAGGAAATGAATAATGGTCCTGAGACTCACAGAAGTATAGCTCATTAAATATTCATAATGTCAACAAACCCTTAGACACACATTTTACAACCAAAACCAATTTACCAACTTTTAATAATAATATGAGCAGTGGAAATTTTTAACAAAAGGGTTGTCAAGATAATATAAAAAAAGTATAATACAATCCACTGTTTTTTTCCCAATTTGTTTTTGCTCCAACTTGGGGCAGAAATGTTGATCTGTCTATTTTAATTCCCTGCCACCTGTTTGGTTTGTGTCTCATGTGGTTAGATTTGTGAACAGGTTTTACCCCAGCTGCGTACAGCTGCTTGATATAGTAAAGAAATCACACTGCAATTATTTGGACAGATCTTATGATTTGCGATGTGATTCATGATTAGTGGGAATGATTATTTTTGCATCCCAGTTTTTATTTTGACTGAAAAAAATATTAAAATCAACATGGTGTGACATTTGAGGGAGTTTGTACCAAACAAAAATGTTTTATTACAGTGTTTCTTTGTCACACGTTTCACCTTCATCATAAAATTCTGTGATTTGGTCATTGCACTTGGCCATATTGAAATTTCAGTAATATTTCGATTAATTGTGCAGCTCTACTAACAAGTGGTATGTTGAGCTTCAGTTCAGATTTTGAAGAGAGATTAAACGGAATGGAAAAAAGATATATGAACATATGTTAACTGCTTTTTGTGAAATTGCCATATGTTGGCAGTGGCCACACAATTGTACATTTCTTACCTTTCTTTAGAGATTGTTTGGCTGATCTCCCATACTTACACCTCGCCGATATGTGTTCTTTTTATTTAGGCACCTAGGACACATTGTTACAACAGTGTGAAAGGTGTCTTTTTGTGAAGTGTATTGAGACGCAATGTAATTTCACACTCAAAATAAACTCACTTGTGCTTTATCAAAAACACAGTTTTATAATAGCAAAACTTACTATACAAATGTTAAGAATAGGCCTGCAACTAACAATTGTTTTCGTTATTGATTAATCTGCCAGTTATTTGCACAATTTATTGATAGTGAGAGTTAATAGCGAATTCACATATTCAGATCTCTTGTTCTGTCTGACCGACAGTCCAAAACCATTTAGTTTGCTATCATAGAAGACAAAGAAAACTTGGAAATATTTTTATTTAAGAAGCTGAAACCAATGCAATTTTTGTTTTTTTGCTTAAAAATGTACTTAAATGATTAAATATGGTTTCAGATAACTTTTTGCTGATTATTGGACTGGTTGTTTCAGCTCTAGTCCACATGAACAATTCTGCTAGTACACTACTTTGTTTTATCAATTAATCTGTTAATTGTATAGTCTTATGACTATAGGACTACTACAAGTCTCTAGAGCCAAGAGTGCTGTGTTAAAACGATTTGTAACGATATAAAATGAAGAAATGAGAGGGCATTTTTGGATTTTAAAAGCCATGACCTGCAGATATTTGGCTAGGGGTGGGAATCGCAGGGTACCTCACGATAAGATACCATACATGTTACACGATACATGGCTCACAATAATATCACAATACAGCAATTCTGTATCAATATCGATATATCGCTAGACAATCACACATTGCACAAAAATGATCACAATATCTGTCCAACTATGAATACAATATACCCGTGAGAAAGTGTTCTCAGACGCCAAAAAACAGCACAATTCTGCAGCACACGTTTTCAGTCTGGAAATTAAAATTATAGAACTATGAAAAGTTGTAAAAACATTTCTTTATAAAAGGCACAAAAAAATGCAAATTCACTGAATCTACTGAATTTTTTTGCTGAAAATACTAATTGCTGTGTACCACCTAGTCTAATATGTACATCACATTATATTAATAACTGTTCAGTGACACAGCTTTGTGCTGCCCTTTCTCCACCTAGTGGTAGCTGTGTTTTTAGGCCACTGGAAATTGTTTTTGGCGATGCTTTAGCTCGTCGTGGAGGAGTAACGTTAACGTTACTGAAGCAGCAGAGTAACGTTAGCAGACCAAGACAGTGAAGTTAGCAGCTCTTTTTTATTTCACACAAAGCTCAGGAAACGTGTGTACTTTTAAGTATTTGCACAGTTTGTCACTCATGATATTAAGCATGTGAAGCAAAATGTGTACTTTATATTAAGATTATATTTTAGATCGCGATGCTAATGTCCGTTAGCACGTTAATGGAGATTCCCATTATATGTCAGCATTGAGCTAACCATCAGAGCGCTTTTTTTATTTTATGTGTCAATATGATGGGCTGAAATATCAATATAGTATCATCGAAAAATGTATAACGATTGATTATGCTGATAATGCCTATATTTGGCATTTTCATTTAATGAAGTATTTCATTTAATGATTTTTCATAATGTCTGATTGGATCTTTGATGAAGGACTGCTTGATTAATCAATCATAGTTTCAGCTTTATTGTACAAACATAGTGGAGGCAGGAAGTGGTCTCTTCAGCCCACGCTGTGAGGCCACTGTGAGACAGATCAGAAAGCCAGACCAGATGTCCTCTGATCTGATCAAATCTGAAGGCCAGTAAAGACAGTTACTGTCCCCCACAGATTCTTCTTGCCCGCTGGGTATCCTCTGAATAGTTTTTAATCAGTACCATGCCCTGCTGATTAGTGAAAAGCCTAAACTTCTGCATGAACTCAAACTGAAAACAATGTTTAACCCGGCTTAAAAAACAATTAGTCAGCACCAACACCAGACTGGATTTAAGATCACGCCACGCTCATTTTCAGTAAAACAAAATGATCTTTTCTAAAAATAAAAAGAAGAAGATATTGATTTATAAAACACTCAAGGTCTAGAGAACATTATGTACCACTCTCATAAGAAGAATCTGAAATCATGTCTGTTTCTATTAATGAACACAAACCTTCAAAGTAGTATTCAGAGTCCTGAATGGGCACTTACTCAGGGTGTCGTGAAAATGATTCTGTCCTGCTGAAAAGGCTATTGTTAAAAAAGATAGATGAAGAGTGCGCTCCTATTCAGTAAGCATGAGCCCCGAGTACACGCCGATGAGAGTGAGATCAAGTGGTAGTTGTCCTTTTCATTGAGGTTCAGCAGTTTTAATATGAATCACGAGTGGCCCGAGTCAGTTGCTTTAATACATTTCAAAAGAATCTGCGGTAATGCAGCCGTAGAGAAGCACAAAATAATTCGAGCTTGCGCTCTAATTGCAGTTATTTCCTCAGACATCTTGGCAGCATCAGTGGCATTTTATTTATAGCTTTCCCACAAGTGGTGACAGATCTCAAATACAGTGTGCAAACAGCGGGATAACTGTTTTCTCCACCATTAGGCTTTCTCAATAAAGCTCGAGGAACTAGAATGAACACATGCAAACTTGTCGTCTCTGAGTCTTAGAGTTGTGATCCAGTCCAGATTAATCTGTGTGCGATGTGCTTGTGTCCGCGCTCATGTTTTCATCCTGTGCTTTTTTTTTTTGTCTGCCTATTTCTTTTAGCTACAATGGCTCTCTTCCAAGCGGAGACCGTGGGCGTAGAAAGAGTCGCTTCGCTCTGTACCGAAGAGCCAAGGCCAACGGCGTCAAACCCAGCGCTGTGCACATCCTCAACACACCACAGGACAGCAAGGTGTGTGTGTGTGTGTGTGTTACTGCACTGTATGTTGCATCGGTGTTTAATGTTAGTTTCCTTCCTGTGAGTCCCTGTTCTGTTTTTATAAATGAACCAGAGGAAGGATGACTAAGCTTGTGTGTGTGCGTGCCTGCCTGCCTGCCTGCCTGAATGTTTGACTGTAGGGTGAATGACACATGGTGATGAAGTAAAATTAAAATAAAGTGAATGTGTAATCACCACTAGGTCATTGGTCACATTCTGCAATCACATGCAAAATTAAAGTATGGAACTTTTATTTTACAGTTATTTATGTAGCCACATCTTATGAGTTTTTTTTAGTAATGCTGTGGTTCAGTTCAATGTATGTTCTGTCAAGACAATGAGAAGTTTTTTTCCAGAAGAGGAGTGCAACAACTCTTGCTTGTTTGCCGTTGTTGTCGCAGGCTGTCCACAGCAGAGGGCAGCACAGCATCTCTTTCACGCTGTCCCGTAACCAGACGGTGGTGGTGGAGTACTGCCATGACAACAACACAGATATGTTCCAGGTAATACACCAAAGAGGAAACGGGTTCAACCGCTTCATACATCCTCCTTCGATAATGGCTGGTTTTGCAGCAAAAATAATCCTAGATTTGTTTTTCCTCCCGAAATATGTTGTTATATAATGTCTTCAAAGGAACTTCTAAAGTTGGTAGATTATTTTGTTTCAGAACTGGGACCATAAAGTAGAAAGAAGAAGAAAGACCTTTGTGGAAAATCTCCAAGAATGTCTATTTTTACACACAAAGTTCTGCTCTTATAATAGTATCACATATTTATGTAATCATGACGTATCTTTCACCCAAATCTCACACGGCAATAAAAGCCACAGTCATGTGGGAAACAGAATTCTTTAGGTTGGGGAAAATCCAAAAACCTACATGCAGTTAGTGTTAAATTAAGACTATTAATAATTGAGTAGTTATATGTAGCAATAGCAGATTTGAATATCACTCTAAAAAGCATTTGTTCTGATGGGTAGTTTCCCGGACTGTCTCTGTGCTGTACCCTGCAGATTGGACGCTCCACAGAAAGTCCCATTGACTTTGTGGTGACAGACACCTCCGGAGGGGGAAAGGAGGGGGAGGACCCCTCCATTGCTCCCAGCACCATCTCACGTTTTGCCTGCAGAGTGGTGTGTGAACGCAACCCACCTTACACTGCACGCATCTATGCAGCTGGCTTTGACTCCTCCAAAAATATCTTCCTAGGGGTGAGTAGACTGATGATCCAGCCAACAAAGGTTTCTAATAAAAGGTGTATTTTCGGAATCAGTATTGAAGTAATAAAAAAAAAACAACGTATAAACCTCGCAAACCAAGATAAAGCAATGGTTTGACAATTCGGCATTCATCTATTGTAAATCAGTTTAATTTGATTGTGGATGATTTATATGACGTCGTGTCTGTGCCACCACAGGAGAAAGCAACAAAGTGGAAAAACCCTGATGGGCATATGGACGGCCTGACTACCAACGGGGTGCTAGTGATGCACCCAGAGGGGTTTCCAGAGGACCCCAAGCAGGGTCTGTGGAGGGAGATCTCTGTCTGTGGCGATGTCTATGCCCTGCGGGAGACACGCTCTGGGCCCAGCCGGGGAAAACTGGTGAGTCACTGCCTGTGTGCGGTTACCGTGTCCATGTTGCTTTTCGGCCACAACATCAAGGTCGTGAGGTTTATTTTTGGTTTTGGATTGTAAGCATGTGTCTGTCTGTGTATCAACCTCTGCAGGCGGAGGGTGAGAGCAGCGCACTGCGTGACGGTTCCCTGGTGGACCTGTGTGGCGCCACCCTGCTGTGGCGTACAGGTGAGGGGCTCATGCGTTCTCCAACCCTCCGTCACCTGGAAGCACTTCGCCAGGAACTTAATGCGTCGCGGCCCCAGTGTCCTGTTGGCCTCAGCACACTGGCCTTTCCCAGCCTGCCACGCAGCCACAGGTGGGAGCCACAGTCTCTTTCAATCTTGTTTTATCTCCAGTAGCCTGCCTATATAGAATGTGTTACTGCCTCTACAGTGGCTATGTTCAGTAGTTTAAAAACAGAAACTCTTCAGGAATTCTAAGCACCAGGAGGTTCATACAAAGTTAACAATCTCTTGCTGTGTTACTTCAGCCTTGAAGAGCGTCAGCCATGGGTCTACCTCGCTTGCGGCCATGTCCATGGACGTCACGACTGGGGCCAGAGATCTGAGGGAGTGGAGGAGCCGGGAGAGGGCGACGGTTCCACAGTCCGCCGAGAATGTCCCCTGTGCAGGAGTGTGGGTCCTTACGTGCCCCTGTGGCTGGGCTGTGAGCCTGCTGTGTACGTGGACGCTGGAGCTCCCACTCACGGTTTTGTGCCGTGCGGCCACGTCTCCTCAGAGAGGACATGCAGGTACTGGGCCGAGACCCCGCTTCCCCACGGGACGCATGCCTTCAGACCCATCTGCCCCTTCTGCTCCACTGCCCTCAGCTCCCCCGGCTGGACGCGGCTCATCTTCCAGGGCCCCATTGATTAGCCGCCACTCCCCAGCAACCACTATCACAGGAACAAAAAGACATTCCCGAGCTTCATTCATGTTGCAAACGTTGATCAGTGTTCAGTAAAGATTAGGAGTGCCCGTCATTTTCACATTATAAAAGCATGTGTGTTTTGCACTCAGGCCACACATTCTATGTGCATAACAAACACTGTCCAACGTTGTTACTGAGTGCAGCCCAAGGCTGAATAATAATTTCCTTTGTTTATCCTTCGATGCTGGTTGATTGGTATATGGTCTGGAGTATAAACAAAAAAAACATGACCAAATAATCAATACTGTTATATGGACAGTATTTACTGTAAACTCTACATGGTGCCCAGTCCTCCATCACGGAGGAGTCTGTTGTTTTTCATTCCAGCCAAACACTACGCTAGCTGATTTCACTGATTACCCAACCTTCAACAGGAGAGGGTTCTCAAAAGTAAACTGTATAGACACAGGAGTTTAAACGATGCTGCTTGACCCTTTTCAAACCATTATTTTCACTCACTTGACCTGCACGTCTAGCACGTCTGCGAGATGTGTGTCCTTAACCTGTTTAAACACCGCATCTTGCACTTCTCAGCCTGCCATATCTGACCCCTTCTTAAAGGTACAATGTGTAAGATTTTGATTTTGCGTTATAGAGATATCCACTGATGTTGGCACGTTAAACAGCTAGCCTTGGCTCGTTCTGTGTTGTAATACCACTTTGAGAGGTGATAGTGAGTCACAGTAGCGTCCAGTTCAGTCTCAGAGGAGGAAGACATAGCCCTGCCCTGAGGGCCTGTCAATCGATGCGGCTGCATATGATATTAATGATCTGATTCTGGTAAATGATGAAATTTGCGTTACATACTTGCCAATCCTTTTGGTTTCTCTGTCCATCTCCCTGCTGTTCTCCTGGAGATTAAATTCCTTAACCTGCCCAATTTAATTGTTGCAGAACACCCTCCTAATCCAGGAAGACTTAAAAGCTTAATTCATGAGGTTATTATAAAGATACTCTTAATTTTGCATGTGATTATAAAAGAGCAAAGGAGCAGAATCGCTTGGAGAACAGCCTGGCTGAGCAGGAGGTGAAAAGCTGCCTCCTATTTGTTTGGAGCATGCGGCCAGGGGATTACACATTGTACCTTTTTGAATTTCTAAAACATGTTACTTTTAATTGTTATGAAGTGCTGCCACGCAAGGACTTATTTTCTTTGATCACCGTACACTATAAGCTATCTGGCCTCATTTCCTGCAAAATCCACCTTCTCCTTTATTTCACATCAGGTCTCTTCATATTTCAGTTTCCATACTCTGTTTTACTTCCTGAATCAACAGCTGAACTCCTTATTGTATTGTTGTGGGAGATTACAAAGTGAGATCATAGGCTTGTGCTTCTATTCAGCATTTCTAGTTCCTAGTGATTCAAGGAGGTAAATGTATGAACACTGTGTAAAATCACATGCACTTTTCATATTTTGTTTTCATGTATGCCTTTTTAGTGTGAAATCTTTGCAGAGATACCCCATAAATGAGACCCCCTGTGTAGTATTAGGTTGGAATGAAAGCCCGCCGACAGATTATCTCTAAAGCACTAGAGGGAACACTACGTACTGTATGAATCACAAAGAATTCACCTGCAAGGGCCAGATATTATGATCAAGCAGACCCAAGGATAAGCAAGGGCTGGGAATGAAACCGGGTAAAATCCACTTCATAACTCTCTACAGCAATAATAGCACTCCCATAGATAAGCTAGATGTTGTGCTATGTTTAGCCAAGTGTTAGCGGTCACTTCAAACATGGCTGATATGGTTTCCAGGATAAGGGCTCAACCAGAGGCGTGTTCAATGTCATGATTTATTTTCTTTCCAAATTAGGTCTTAGACCAGTGATCCAAGTTTGTTTGTGATGTAACCAAAGCACTAGAACTGAATCAGTGATTAAACACCTGACATGTATTTAAATACTTATTTCATAAGCAGACTAAACAGAAATGAGCATGTTTAGGCTGCAGCTGCCGTCATGAAAGGACATGTCGCGGCTGTTTTGTTCATTTGAACACACTTCTGGTTACTGAATTATGCTAAAACAGGGTCCTTGTTAGTATGACGGAGTGTCAAAAAGGTTTGACCTTGCATAACCTCAAAAGATAACCTTTTGTTTGTTTATTTGTTTCAAAGAAAACTATTTTGTTAGGAAATGGGGAGGGATTTATTTAGGGAAGCGGGAGGAATTATTTTGGATGTTCAGTGTTTAAAAAAAAAACACAACTATTTTTCTAACTAATAATTGGTTTTAGTTAAATGTTGTTACTCAGTGTAAGCAAGTTCTGTATGTTTTCTTAATATTCTCGTGTGGTAGATCTAGGAGAGCTTGTGAGTGAGAAAACATTGCCAACACTGTGTCCAACAAACACACACTTAACACACTGCTACCATAAAACATTGCTCAGACAATGAATGTAGCCAAATACTCAGGCTATATTTAGCCTTCCCTGGTGCTCATATTGAATGGTCTATATTGTGATACTATTTTTGTAACTGAATATTATGGTGTAGCTTGGTGAACTAGCTCGAAAAGTCAAATACTTTCAATAATATCCTCAAGTGTGCAAGACGTATAATTGATAATACACACTCACGTGGAAATTGTGTCTAGCTTGCATGTGCTGAACGTACACATACAGTATGTACACTACACACACACTTACTCAAAAACTTTGCACGGTTGATTGCCAACCAGTTATTCATGCTCAGAGCGTTTGTCGCAGACCAAGATGTCTTCCGAGTTCTCGGCTGTTAAAACTGCAGCGTTTCAGTTTTTTTGTTGTTTTGGAAGACCTCTCCAAAAGACAGAACAGAGAGAGTGAGATTAAAAAAAAATCCTGATACTTGATAGAGTTGTGACTTTTGTGAATGAGACCTATCAAATCCCACTTTGTACTACTATGCTTATACTGTCCACCAAACCAGTTCACCGCGTCAACACTTGTTTTCATTTTGTATTTAGACTGATCATGGAACATTTCAAGCTATTGAAAGTCAGCCTGCTCGTTTTCAAAATACTGTATTTTCCTTTTGAAGTCTAAATACAAGATTTAAACTCCATACAGTGCGGTGAGTTGACGTGGTGTTGATAATTACTGTAGCTCAGGATTAGTGATTTCAGATTCACAGCTGACAAGGACTGAAGGAAGCCTGGTAGAAGACACTTACAGTGAAATAAAACAAAAAAAAACATATTAAATGTCAGATTAATCATCTCATGTAAAGGCCAAATGTTAGAGGGCATACAGTAGGGTAGATCACATACGGGTCTTAATAAAAGAGGTCTAGTAAAATAGGCTATGAAAACATCTTGATCAACTGCCCTTTACTAAGCACGCCAAATCCAGTGAATCCTGCTTTTGAATATAATATATAAAACAATAAATGTAACGGCATTGGCATGTGGATGGAAGAGTCGTTGCAGCACCCTGATTGGCTTCTAGTTTATGACCTGACACATTTAATTAAGTTAATCTTTACTCTTCCTTTTGTTCTTCATTTGAACCCTCTTTGGGTCATAGATGTCCATATGCAATTTCCTTTCCCCTTACTTTTAGATTTTAATATCAGAGCATTTTTTAGATAGCCTACAGTATTTTAGCGTGGCATAGGATTGTTTAATACCACCAGTAACATCATTAGCTCTTCCTTAACTTTGTTTTATACTACATGTATCGGTTGACCTTCATTCCAGGTGGCAAAACCTCAAACTCTGAACTTTATGAACTCATCCTATTATAGGTGAGTGAGTAGCTGACACGTATTATACCGCGTAAAAACCTCACACTTAATAATGCATTCCTTTAAATACATCTGTGTTATGTACAGCTGTTTTGTATTATTTTATATCATATTCTTCTGTAATTGTCCGGTGCACAGACAATCGCTATACACATGTCAATAAACCTGTTAAAAAGTTTGCTCTGTTCTTCTGACTGTTTTGAATGACTTCTTCTTCTGGGTATTACATACTGCAGATCAGCATAAAGGATTATTAAAGGGATACAGTTCATTGTATTTAAATGAAGCAAAGTCAAGAGGTGCATTTACGCGTGCTGGTGCCAGCAGAGGGCGCTCTCCACCTGTTCTGAAGCTGACCACACGTTGATGTTGCTCTGAGTTGCATCACCTCTTTAAAATAATCAACCGTTTTAATGAGCAGTTTTGGCAGTCATGTTCATCACCACGCAAATGTGATAAGACGATGCAAATGTCTGCAAAATTACAGAACGCTTGATTTAAAATAGCAATTTAAAAGACTTAAGTTCATTCCTTTTGCAAGGAATTCAGGACATCTGCTGAAAGACTCCTGAAGATCTGCTGAGAGTGGTGTTATTCTGAAGTTTGTTGAGAAATGATTCAACTCTTGAACCATGGGCTTTTTAAAATTTCTTTCAAAGATTATGAAGCCTATTTCATGGGTACATCGTTGCCACACTACATTTAATCTCTTCCAAAGCATGGGAGGGAGAAAACCAAAAGCCTGCTGAGACTATACAAGAGACAGTATGTACATGTTAAGATATAAACTGTAATAAATGATACGTGTCCTTGTTTTGTGTATATTAACACATTTTTCATTGCATTATACAGTTTGCTGAAGTGCTCCTACAATAACTAAAACCTCTTTTTCAGTGCACTCAAAAAGGTAAACTTTGCTGTTGAAGATAAGTTTTAACCTTTTCATATATAACCGGTTTTGGAATAAAGAAACAGCATTGTGCCATCACATTCCGAGCATAGAACTTAATTGAGTAACAGTTGAAATGTTTTGCTTCATGTTGTGGGCAGTGTCTTTGTAACTAAGCATGGTTTTCATTCTGGGGAATGCTTTAATGGGGAACACACTCTCTGTGTTGTCTCTGATGAAATAACTCAATCGTAGATGTTATGGTGGCTGAAATAAAGCCTTAAAGCCGCCGTTATCAATATTTTTACAGTTGTTCATATACAGTAATGAAAAGGGTGACTTGGATGAACCCACAATTATCACCTGACTCTGCAGTTCCCCTCAGCTCTACACAGCTTATTGTTGTTGTTACAGCCTGCAACTTTACTGCTTTGGTTTATGCTCAACGCTCTCATCAATTGTGCTTTCAACAGTGTTCAGATGTTTTCATTGAAAAAGCTCCTTAAAAAAACGACGTATGCTAACCAGGTTTCGAAATATGGGGGAGCTCCAGGGGAGCTACCATTGCCCGTCCACTGTGTGTTGGCTTTCATATTGTTTCTTTGTGGAGAGCGATTAAAAAGACACTGCAATGGTGAATCATTTCACTATTTCTTTGTTGTCCCAGGCTAAATATTCTCTGTATGAATTGTATGCATCAACTGTATTAATTGTATTGTATTGATACATTTATATTTCAGTAGGCAGGGGCGTTCATGTATACACGTGTCCCACACCTATCAGAAGTTAGTTAGGGTTAATGATAGAACTTGTATCTGCTTAATTAGCATGTAAATAGGCAGCTGTTTGCTAACATGTTAACAGTACCTACTTCATAAGGCCATACTATTTTAAGTGTGCTATACAATGTGTGGCTAAAACAATTAGACTACTGCTGCTTTCTGGTGAGTCCTGCTTGAGTAACAAAAGTTCTAAAATCTAGCCGTGGTACATATAAGATACTATTATATTATTTTTAAATGGTGTGTGTTTATAAATGAATTTGTATTTAATCAGGTTACCACAGAGCAAACTGTGGGAAAGAAAATATTCCATGATAGGAAATACTGTACATACGGCACAGAGAGGGAAGGAACGGGGTTAATAGGGGCCCAGCAGCTCTTTCTTGCCCTGATGCTCCCTTGCAGATTTATCCGGCCATGCTCAGTGTGTGTGTGTGTGTGTGTGTGTGTGTGTGTGTGTGTTTGTCATGGGACCTAGCATAGATGATGGAGGCAGGGTTTAGTCGTACAGTTCAATTCTCTGTGGAGGGATTTGTAGGTTTTGATCCCAGCTAATTAATGTGAAACCCTCAATGGGAAGTAATGTGTATCTGTGACTGGGAAGTTTGAAGGGGACTGTGTGTGTGTGTGTGTGTGTGTGCGTGCGTGCGGGTGGGCGTACGTGCACACAAACGTAGTGTATAAGCATGTGCAATTGATGAGCATGTGAAGGCATCTGAGTTGGTGTGTGCGAGTGTTAATCAGCGACTCAGAAATCTTCCTCTCTGTAACTCTCAGCGGACTCACTCTGGAGGTAGCAGGGGGCGTTCATACCATTGTTCCATCAATCCACCCATTAACTACAAACACTGGGAAACTTTAATTAAGCTGGGGCCACAGACGATTAATTAACTTTAAGACTTTCATTTCTTTTTTCTTTCCTTCTACACATTTCACTAAGTCACAGAGCCACAGAAAGTGTTAATTTAGCCACATAATTTACAAATCCAATTAAAGCCAATATTAAGGCATCACAAGCTGCTGTCCTGTGTTCTCTAGTGTTATAAGACTGTTCTCTTTTGTGGCTCGGTTAGGAGTGAATGCCAGCTCACGTAAGCTGAGCAAAGTGTATTAAACAGGGGTTAAGAGTTTTAATAAGTTTGATTATTTTATGGAGTTTGTTATCCTGTTAGGGAGGTGATGTTGTGGCAGTGGGTTGGTAATCCGGACTGTCTTGTCTCACCAAGTGGTCCCCCAGTCTGCCGCAATGGAGGCCGTCACCACTAGTCACTGTTCGGGAAGAGAAGGCCCAACCTAGATGTGACTGGATGAGAATACGACAGAGGAGGGAATCTGTTTCAACACCTGCCATATACAGGGGTATACACTTAAGCCTTCAGGAATATACTTCGTCACTGTGGCAGCCATGGGAGGCCTGCTGATGATGCTACTTCACCTTTTAACCAACCACCATACCCCTAAATAAGCACAATTTTATGTATGCATAATTTTAGCATTTTGCTTTTTATATAGGCTACAGCATTAGTTAACTAGGTAACCCAGAGGTCATGTCCTCGACTCATTTGTAGGACTTAACATATTACAATCAAAACTTGCACTTGGTGGATATTTTCTAAGCTGATCACAGTATATTGTTGGTAATATATGGTTTAAATTTGAATATACGATTAGGTTAATAAGTAAAGTATTCTGTATGTGTCCACAGGATGTTATTCGTGGCAGTTTGGCCTTCATGTGGGGAATCAATTTTACAGAAAGTACAATTTAACCATTCACAATAATTATATAGAAAAATTGAGACTTTCTTACTTTTGTGCAGTGGGACTGAAATAGATCACATGACCTCAGTATTTCTAAAGTGCTGTTTACCTTCCCCCCGCGACCCTGTACACAGGATAAGCGGTTGACGATGGATGGATGGATGGATGGATGGATGGATGGATGGATGTTTACCTTCCTGGCTGTGAGCACCACAGATGAAATTCCATTGACCTGTTGCGCTGAAGTGGTATAAATCTCAGAGACTCTCAGATGTATCCCAAATATTTGAACAGCACACAGTAACAGTAATATCAACAATAACACCATATTAAGATTGATATGTATACATTTTATACATATGGGCTACTCCTATGCATGTAAATATGATATGGCAAATATGCAAAATAACATATAAAATCTTCAGATTCAATGAATCTTGTTCCAGTGTTATGCTTTACATCAGACAAAACTCTTCAAACATGTAAAACCAAACTTCAGTAACTTAATTGTTTAATTTTTATTTTAGCACAATATGACCATTTTATCACGATTCCATACCACTGAAAGTTGATAATTGAATTCTTGCCGAGACCTAAGTAGCATTAGGCAGACTACTTCACTCTGCAATGTTTTTGTCAACCCACTGTGTAAACTTTAGACTTTCTGTCATCCTTACTCACTTCCATTCTGTGACTGCTTTCCTCTTTGCATAATCGTGTCAAGATTCTGAAAACATTATCTTTATATTTCCAATAATTCCGCAGTTTAATTTTTTGGCGCAGTTTACACAGTAAATTCTCCCGTGTAAATTAAGTGAGATGCCAACTGAACACAGTGGAAAGCCCCGCCCACCCGCGTCTCTCTCGAGCCGTAGCCATTTTTCTTGACATGAAGAAACTGCGTAAGTTTGTCCTAATTACCTATGCTGCTATGAAACCCATATTTTGACATTACAACACAAACAATATTTTAGTAAAACTTTAAATTCTTGTCCGTAAGCTTGAGCTGGTTTTGTTTCTGAAACTAGTGAATACAGCTTGGCCTTATGTTACCAACAGCTATCTTAAACGCATGAACTTTAAACTAAGTAGGTATTGTTGGCGAGAGCTGATACCTGTAATCTTATAGGCCCGACAGTTTGGCTTCTTTGGAACTCTTTTTATGTCTCTCTTGTCATTTTTATTCGCATGTGTCACAGTGTTGATTTTGCAACCTCTTTCATAGCTGAGAAATCTGGTAATTTTGCATTTAACTTAATGTGACTCTTCCTGTTTGTTTATAATTTCTACTTGAAACTCAGCTAATTTAACTTTCAATTTCTGTTCCTGTTTGATTTGTAGTTTGCTGTTGAAACCGAGCTAATTTGTCTTTCATGTTCCCCATTTTGGTGAGGGAATTGCTACAGCAGTGGCGTCCCTCCACTGCTAAATGAATGTAGGCCAAACGCTCCTCTGTTCCCACATCTTCCCAAAGTTTATTCTTTTCCTCCCTGATGTTGCTCTCGCTGCTCGCTCTCAGCGTGACCAATAACAGCCCTGAGGAAGCTTCTTCGTAATTCCCTGTAAATGACAACTAATGAAGATGGTATTTCCCCTCATTACTTTGTGTCTTTGAGGGGGCAGGGCTGTCATTGGCTCTGGGTTGATGCAAGCCCGTGTCACTTTTATTTTACTCCCTGCTATTCACCCCTGGTTGGAAAAATAATAATATAAGTGTCCCTCTTTTCTTTTCCCTCTCTCCTTAGCAC